ACCTTTTTAAAATTGCTATACTGAGCATTCAAAATGATGTAATGAATATTAAAATTTTGCCACAGGATTATCATATTAACGTCATAAAGTTCGTAACAAAATCATGATTACCAACTCTCATAAAGAAGCGCTGCGAGTAAAATACGTCATGCGAAAATTTTCGTGAGCAGAAAACATGATAGGTAATACCGTTTTTAAGAATTTCCACAACGTTCGTAACTTCGTATAGCAAGCGACTTGTGTAAATACACAAACGTGGAAAAATTGAATACCTATGCTCACACAAACATAGATAGGCTCAGATATCTTTGAGAAAGGAAAAAAATAGCGCCATGCACCCTTTGGTAGTGTTTTGTTTCAGTTGGTAAGCAAGATTCTAATTACAACGAGACAGGGTATGCGCGTCATGGAAGGCGCGAGACTGATATTGCAAGCCTTTATGGACTATGGAGCATGCTAATAGTAAGCATGGTCAAAAAGGCGTTTGCAACACTCTTTCCATAAAGAAGCACACGTCTGCAAACTGGGATCCTTCCCAGAGCACACAGGAGAAAAAGTCATCCGTCAGCAAAACTTTCTACCGCAATATTTAAGGTGCTTTCCCGCCGTTGCCGTTTGTAGCAAAGTTTTGGGGCAACCTGTATATGACGAAGTCTTCTGTTTTATAAATAGAACTCCGACTTATTAGTCGGAGTTCTAATTCCAGCGGAATCTCCACATTGTCTACCAGCGGAATCTCTTGTAAAATAATTATTTAGTCTATTTATTTCTTTAGGAAAATATTTTAGCAGTGTAATAGTAAATTTTAAAGGTTTATTTTTGACAGGTGATTTTTTATTGCTCCTGTGTAAAGGATTCGCGTCACTGGAGTTTCATTTTGAAAAGTTCCCTCAGGAAAAGCTGTTTATATAAAAGCCAGGCTGAAATTGGATTGCCTATTCCAGGTGGGCACAAAAGCCACGAAATAATGCAAGCAAAATAAACTGTATTCGGTTTAAAACTACACTTTCGTGGAATATTAGTGTGATACTAGATTACTGCTGTTATGTCTGTTTCGTTTTATTTTCGTATATGTATTTCGTAATAAGTAAAATGTTTCAATAACCAATATACCATAGGTACTTTCAAAATCTTAGACTGCGATTTTTAATTAGGTATCTTACGAACCCAACGGAACTTTAGCGCGCTAATGTTCCTAAGTTCAGATTTAATGGTTAGCTCCGCATTGTGCGATGTCATATCTTATGCCGTGATTTGTTAAGTATAATTAGGTACCATTTATGGTACCAATACATCAAGTTTTGATGTCATTGCATCGCCTGCTTATCCACTTGAGGTTAAATAAATAATAAACAATATTTTTTTACCATCCGGAAAAAAATATATTTTCTAGTAAACTTTTCTTTAAATATGTTGGGCTTGGTTTTTTTTTGCAAGAAAACAAACTGAAAAATGAGTGTTTTATAAAGGTATGTTATGCGTAATTTCACTCATATGGCTTTAAAAAAACTATCATTCTTCAAATGCCCTTTGTTAACTGCGCTCATACTTCAAACGATCATTAAGGTGCTTTGCAGACGACGGGGCGGGGCGGACTTTTTGTCCGCGAAGCAATAAAAACCGTCTGCCCGTCGATGTCTGCGGCTGCCCTCGCCGCGTACACAGCAGCAGGCAGAGGCAGTCAGGACTTCGTTCTAGTGTATAGTCCATCACTAAAAAGCGCGTGGCGCGGACTGAGCTAGCCGCCCCGCGCCGCCGTCTGCGTTACTGCATATAAACAGGGAATACGAGGATTTCCCCGTACGTCGTGTCACATTTCAATCAAAACGTGTGGTAGGTTTAAAAATAAATAGAAATCTATAATATCATAAACATTGATCTTTAACGGAAACATCCTTAACAATTCTGAATTCTTAAATCGTGGTAAAACATGCTTTAGAAAGAACACATCCTTTTTTCATGTTTTTTTTTTATTTTTTTTTATTCGTGATATATCGTGACCTTCAAAATACTAAGTAACAACTATTATCATATTAAAACGAATATATATGTGTATGTAGATATATAATGTATATATATACATATATATCAAGTTCCTTTATTTAGTAATTAAGTTGTAAACTGATGGAATGGTCGACGTGCACATTTTCCAGCCCATAACTAGGTAGTGTAGGTGCTAAATATTAAACTTCTGTTGGTAAAATTTCAAATAACAAAACAAAGGTACTACGATAAATATCCCATGGGATGTGACGAGCGGGTTAGCGTAATAGAGGTGTGGGTAGACACTGCCTTCTCTTCCGTAAAGAGTTATAATAAGTTGACTGTGTGGGTAGGTACACTATTAAAGTCAGTAGTTTGAATTAGCGAAATAGTACATGAAGATTTGAAATGTTCATTCAAATTAGGTATTTATTTCATTATTAAAAAAACTATTACGAACCAGCCAACTACCTGCTTATAAAATTGAAAACTTATTTGCGGCTATATGTCGTTTCTTCAAAGTATGTAAGTCATTAGGTGTTGCTTGTATAAGTTTCTAAAAGTTTGGAAGGCCTGATTGGAACTAAAAATCTTTGGCAAAGAAAATATTTACACAAGAAAAAATAAAATCGACCTAGATCAGTCTAAGCCTAGACTGAAATCGAACCCTACGTGGTTTGCTATACTGGTGGATGCATTAACGGTGAATGTTTTCGGTAACATCGAAATTAAAATCAGCAGCAGTAGTTAAATGCAGTTTATTGCATAGATTAAAAAAAATATATTTTCCTAGGGACATTTTATCTTTTTTAGTAGTAAATAACTAAATGCATTTTAATATTTTCGAAGCCCAGAAGTCCAGCACGCCCCAGCTCCACTAACACCTGATATGAAATGTGAGTAGAGACCTTTTTTTACGTGAAGACTGATGTGAAGGTAATTTATTACCCTTAGCACGAATCAATATCGAATTAGAATAGTTTGCGAGTGCGAAATGTCATTGTCAAATTTTGTATGGAAACTTGAACAGCAGCGCCACAACGGACGTAAAGAGAACTAAAAATCAATACACATTTGACGTACAAAATGGATCGAATTCAACCATTTGAATTCGATAATGGTTCGTGCTAAGTATAGAGTAGAAAAAGTTATGGCTACTTAATTTCCCTACCCATCTTTTTTTTAATCTAAGTAAACAATACTTCGCTGTTCTGGCCAGGCGAGTATTAAAAACTCTAGTGGCAATCTCCTCTAATTACAAAAAGTTTTTCATAGTGGTAATAATAAGGTAAGTATGGTAAATTATATAATAAGGTTTTATCAACAGTACTTATAAAGTAAAATTTAGGAAAACAATATTTCTAGACTCGGGTAAATTACCGCCACCTTACGGTATAGACGGCCTCTATAAAGTAAGTACTTAGTACCTATGCTTTTTAAAAGTATAATAGGAAGTTTATTTTAATACACGAGAAAGCTTTTTTAGTAGCCAATCAGAATTCTGACTTCCCTTTTCAAAAAAGATTTATTCATTAATGTTGCTATTTAACAGTCACATTTTCTTCAGCGCCATCTAGGTTGCCTACTTGGTAGCATAAAGTGATATTGTTATGCTTTTCTAGAATAGGTACATACGAGTACCTCAAACAATCATGATGTTGGTAAATTTAGGAGAATTGTGGAAATTACTAACAGATACGAAAGATGTGGTCGTTCATGATAAAAATAATTATAATAAAAATCCTAGAATCTGACTGCAGTGCCGGTCGTCACCTACCGTGTCGATGTTATTGTAGTGCCACCTACCGTGGTGTAGTTGTAGATGGAGACCCACCCGAATGCTCGTTTAGATTTCCTAACTAAAGTAAAGATTTTACTGCCCCAAGCCCGGTGATGCTGTGAAGACCGTATTCTGTGAGTCGGTGACCAACAAACATACACACTCTAAAAAAATCTCGGAATTAGCAGTTATAATAACGCATTTGCCCTTTAAAATAACGCTAAACAAAAGAAACGCAATAGGTACATTCCATTTTTGAAATTATTGCTATTTATCTTTGAAACCAAACTCGAATCCTTTTAAACGAGGATCCGGGCTAAATGTCTACGTAAAAGAAGTTTACCTATCTTTATCGTAAGCTCGAGTAATTTAAATTTATACGATTTTTTGATGTACTATGATGACTTCGTTTAATTAACATGACATAAGATAAAATCCTCAATATTTATATTGTAGTAACGGATTTCTTGTTAAGATTAAAGTTATAATGCCGACAATTGGAAGTTTTTTTTTAGCTGATGGCAGCTAGAAAAATTTCTCTGGGACCAGACAGCAGACGAGACTCGAATCCGGGCGGATACACTGACCATTAGGCGCTTTGCAGACGGCACAAAGTGAATCCTATACTACAAACGCACACAGAGAGCATGTCCGCGGCTGCCCGCCGTGGATCATACAAACCAGGTTATATGCAGTAACGCAGACGGCGGAGCGCGGCGGCTAGCTCAGTCCGCGCCACGCGCTTTTTAGTGATGGACTATTCACTAGAACGAACGTCCTGAACTGACTGCCTCTGCCCGTCGTGTGCTTTGTGTCCGCGGCGAGGGCAGCCGCAGACATCGACGCAGACGCAGTTTTTATTGCTTCGCGAACAAAAAGCCCGCCCCGCCCCGTCGTCTGCAAAGCGCCTTATGCTACCGCGGCCCTAATTGTCCGTGTCGAATTTACTATAGTATTTCTTAGGATGCACAGCAGCGCCATCTCTTCGCATTGTAGGTAACACACAATGTCAAATGAATACGTTTACAATTATTAAAAATTTGAAAAAAGAAATAGCAATTATATTCATATTTTAATTATCATAGACCAATAATATTGGTCCGTGTTCATATAGGGTTGTCATTTTATAGTAGGTACCTAAGTTTGTCAAAATTCTAGGGTTAGTGGAATAAGTTACTAGCTGATTTCCAGCTCGAACATAGTACTACTACATTTTGAAAAGGTAATAAAACAACAATTATTATTGTATCATTAACTATTTATATATTTCAATAGTATCTCTTAAATTATAAACTATTTTCTCTAACGCTCCGCGCTCGCAATATTTGGTTTAAGTCTAAGTGAAGACGAATCAATAGTTAGTGTTAATTACAATCAACATACTCATAATCAACAGTCGAACAAAACCCAATAGATTACATTTAAAACTAAAATAAAACTAAATGTAAAATTAGGTTTCGTGCGCTACAAAGATTTAGAAGGGGTAATAGAACAGTTAACAATAACCTAATGGTTAGTTAAATATAGTCTACAAGGATTTGTATATTTTCCTTTTTCAAATATGTTCTCGGCTTCGGCTGTTCAGCCTTCAACCAAAAGCAAACTATATTTTTTTTAACAAAACCACAGATTAATCTACTGCGCATAACACGTTACTGATCAAATACTGCTTCACAAATTACGGTAAATAATAATAATAAAAAAAACTATACTATTTAGTGGGGAATGTTAACTTTGGTATAAAATATTAATTATAAACAACATAACATTATTTCAAACACAAAGAACGAGGCTTAAATCAAGTATAAATTAGAAAAAAAAAATACTGTTTTAATCAATAGCCTAGAACCAGCTCCAATATATTTACAAAAACTGGCAAACTTAAAATTTGTGTAGGTACTTATGAGAATAAACTAAAAATTAAACGTTCTCAGTGATCAACTGCAAAAAGATTGCACTGTGCGGTGAATTGAAATGAATAGGAGACACAAATAATAAATTGCAATAAATATACTGGGAAATTTTCTACTAATTATATTATATAAATGAATCTATATAACATAGATAAAGATCATTATTCTCAGATAAATACATATTATATAAAATTCTCTAATGCACCACAGTGTGTAGGTTTCCTAACATACACTCAAGGCCTAATTGGTAGGTACCGTTTTATACTATAGTCTAACATTTTGTGTTTTTGGAATTACCTAAAAATTTATAATTCGCCGAAGAAAGCCAGCCAGTATTAATTATACCATTTAACACATATAGCTAAATAGTGTAAATATAATGTCAAATGATATATTGGTGTCGATTCTGGTATGAATCTCTAAGCCTAAACTTAAATTTGACAACTGTATATCCTTGTCATTATCTATGCAGAATAAAAAGAAGAAACTGGTGTTAAATTATGTTTTAAGTTTAGAGAATCGTGCCAGAATCGCCACCATTGTGTAAGTATATAGATTGCTGTTTCGATAAGAATCTTAGCGATGATGAATTTTCTTCAGCCGGTTATGAAAACGATTTATTAGTCAAACTGAATGCTACTGTACCTATTAGATGTGGGTAGAATTACACAACAAGTTTTCAAATTTCATTAGCACAATGTGCAGTTACTTACGTCGTTATGCCGGCACTTCACTTGGCTTTTCGTATTTGCTAATTGTAAACTTGACAACAGCCTTTCTTTACCATGCTTTATAAAGTATGAAAAGCATATCAAGTTTCCAAATAGCAAACATGAATACAGCCAAGTGAGGTGTCGACATTACAAAAAGCTATTCACGAACATTGTTTGAATTTACATTGGGTGATAATAATATCTAATGATAATAAACATTCCTTTTAAGAACAGAACAGTTTATACAATTCTAGAAAATTCGCTATAAAAATTACTGTACCTAACACATTGCGCTGAAAGTAATGCCTAAGACTGGTTTTAATCCCATAAAGTGTTATATTATTTAATATACATGTATAAATAATCATTATTTTTTCACTATAAATATATCCATTTATAAAGTATTACGTCTACATTATCACAACATTTACAAAGCGGTTAGCTCTATAGTAGACGTGTATTCTTGAAAAGAGTTACAATATGCCCCAAAAACATGTTACAAAATTGTATTCGAATATTAAAGATCAGTATTGGTACAATGGTACATTATAAAAGATTCGGATCATTACCTCCTTTAATTAGCTAATTAAATTCTTATTAAATTAACTCTATCATACCGTTATGTCAGTCGAGGCGCAACGGAAGCGTGCAACTGGGATTGAAGATAAATAAATAGTTCTCAATAAGAGATAGGAATGGTCACTTATTAAAAAGGCAAAAAATATATTTTATAATGCGTCATAATTATAAATTGTTACGACAATGCATGCAAATCACTTGTAAGCAATGTTTCTTGCTTAACATTTGTTTTTTTTGTAAAGCACGTGACCCGATCATTGTTTCGAAAACAAAAATATTGCACAAAATAAAGATACGTTCTTGGAGTACCTATCTAAAGATTTAGGGAGTAATAAATCAAGTTTTTGGCTCAGATAGCCCAAGTTCAAATAATGAACGTAGAAAAATAGTCTGCTTTTGCAGTAAAACTCATTGTTTGTTTAACGCCTCAGTATACAAGATTAGCATCGCTATATATATATATTGCAGCTCAGTTACTGAAAACACAACTTTAAGTAGAATAGATCGGTCTAGGATTTAGACTTATATGTGTAAACGAATCGTTCAAACTCTTCAACAAACTCAATCTTATATATACCATGCGACATAAAACTTAAAGTCAATTTTTCCCTGACTCAACTGCAAAGATGGCGTTGATAGTCTGTTACTGCAGCGTCAAATAAACTGCGACCCTAAGAAGATTCATACACTTAGAGAGCTACACTGCAGTTTATAACAAAGATTTTCTACATCATATACATACAATATATTGTTTCCGAAATCTGTTGGTAAGTTTGTTATAACTAGGTAGGTATTTTTCTGACACATTTCAATTTTACATCTCTGATAGAAAATCAGCCTTGCGTGGATACACTTCACTCCTCTTCAGATCTGTTTCAACATCGTAGAGAAAATGCTTGAATATCTAATTAGATTGACAAGTTTACACAGAACGTATCAAGATGATTTGCAGATCACAAAAGTGTGAGGGTTTAAAGAAGAAGCGACTCAATTGCCATGCAATAAGGCTCGTATTTCCTTTAAGCCGTTGAGTCGTGCGATGAAGGTGGAGGAATGGTGGTGCCGGCCGCGTATTGTTCCCGTAATCGTCTCACTTCTCTGGCTGCGACTGTTAGCTCTGCTTGTAGTGCCATCTCCCTCTCACGCAAGCATTTTATCTCGTTCTGCCACGTCTGCAACAATGTTTTTTTATTAAATTAGATTTTTAACTTAAATTAAAAAAAAGGTACCTCTTTCTAATTATATTTAATTTTGAGAAACCTGTGTCGAAGTTGTCCTTTTCATCATTGACCTTTATTATCCGTATATGACAATGGTCAATAATGTAAGCTTCCTAATTTTAACAATAAGTACTTGGTAATACAGACAGCAAAGATTAATTTCTTATGCCTATAACTTAGGTTGCCACTAGCTATTCAAAGCGCGTGTTCGCGCCCTCCTTCACAGACGACATCAACTGCAAGCCCTTGGGGGCCAGTATGAGATTCATGTGATAGTTACTCACGATGTTTTGTTTGTTGTTTTTCAACAAGTCCTATTTGTCGTTCTTAAGGCGGCACACCCTCTTGCCTTACGTGTACTCTCGGTACAGCCAGTGGTTAACCGCGCGTGTTTTAATCAACTCCGAGCCCTCAGAGACTACAGTATGAGGCTTATATTATGATAGTTACTCGCGATGTTTGGCTTCAACAAGTCCAATTTGTTGTTCTTAAGGCGGCAGACCTCTTGCCTGGCGTGTACTCTCGGTACAGCCAGTGGTTAACCGCGCGTGTTTTAATCAACTCCGAGCCCTCAGAGACTACAGTATGAGGCTTATCTTATGATAGTTACTCACGATGTTTGGCTTCAACAAGTCCAATTTGTTGTTCTTAAGGCGGCAGACCTCTTGCCTGGCGTGTATTCTCGGTTCAACCAGTGATTAACCGCGCGTGTTCTAATCAACTCCGAGCCCTCAGGGACTACAGTATGAGGCTTATCTTATGATAGTTACTCACGTCACGATGTTTTGCTTCAACAAGTCCAATTTGTCGTTCTTGAGGCGGCACACCTCTTGCCTGGCGTGTACTTTCGGTACAGCCAGTGGTTAATCGCGCGTGTTCTATTCTACTCCAAACCTTCAGGGACTGCAGTATGAGGCTTATCTTATGATAGTTACTCACGTCACGATGTTTTGCTTCAACAAGTCCAATTTGTCGTTCTTAAGGTGGCACACCTCTTGCCTGGCGTGTACTCTCGGTACAGCCAGTGGTTAACCACGCGTGTTCTAACCAACTCCGAGCCCTCAGGGACTACAGTATGAGGCTTATCTTATGATAGTTACTCACGATGTTTTGCTTCAACAAGTCCAGTTTGTCGTTCTTCAAGCGGCACACCTCTTGTCTTAGCTGATCGGCGTCCGCTCTTGGCACAGCTAGTGGTTCACCGCGTGTATTCGCGCCCGCCTCTGCAGACGACATCGACTCCAAGCCCGTATCGCTGTCTACGTAGACTGCACCTGATAAATTATAAGATAGATCATGTGTCAATACATTCTAAGCCTACACCTGTAATTCCCAATTTAATCCACAGTAAGACATATACACTCTAATTTAATTACTAAGCAAAAAATAGAGGTTTTATGAGGTCTGTTTGTAGCCATTTTTATTGGGGATTGTAATTATTAGCTTTTAACAACTGTTGCATAAATATTTTCTTGAAAATTATAAAACTTTTTAGTATTAAATGAAAATCTTCTACACAAATGGATTTATCGTTCAAAGCCATTTTAGATTCATCTACTTACTAAATGACAAAAAATGTAAAAAAAAATACATAAAACTAACAACACATGCTTTTTAGGAATGAATAACTACATTCTGTTCTACTGTTTCTAAACACCGATTTTACAGTGGAAGTCACTTTGGTGGACACAATTAGACATTGACATAGCCCTTATTGTATATGCAATAAGAGCGATATTCGCAGTTAAAGTGTTTCCACTGCGGTGGTTTCAACTGTACAGGACTAACCTGTTGCGCTTTTACCACAACTCAGCCAGTCCTTGTCGTCTGAGCGGGGAGAAAAATTTACGTTTTCAATCACAAAATATTTTTTCTAAAATAAGGTTTAATTACTTTTCTAATTCATGATGTATACGTAAATTAGGAAGATTAGATAATAATAATATTGCGTAAACTTAAAAATTGCGTGTGATAGATAATGGTCTGAACTCGATTGTTTTTTTTAATGATTTAAATACCTCATCTACAAAAAAAATTAGGATTATTAAACTAAAATGAAGCGTAGACAAATAGATTGATTTTCTTAAAAAACGGGTTTTTTTGAAGTTATACTTCTTTTAATACAATATGATATTTTTTGAAAATGTATTGTGAGTAAAACTTAAAAAGATTTTTTCGAAACCAAAATTTTAACAATATACATTTAAGGCTTTAATATAAATAATTATGATTAAATAAACTCGAGTTTTAATTTACCAACACATCAACAGATGGCGCTTTTCTATTCACTGTATCACGCAAACGAGCGGTTTGCTCACCGAGGTGGTCCAATAGTTTACAAAAAATGTTGCAAACCCATGATCAGATGGCGCTGTCCCATTCGATTTATTACGCAACAGGTGATCAGCACGTTTGGCCTGCGTGGAAGTTAAGCCACTTTCGCAATGGTCGGTCATCAGATGGGTGACCAAAATGTGATTCGCTCACCGAGGGAGTCGAATAGTTGACAAACCTTGTTACAAACTCAATATCGCCGGGCCTTTTTTTTTTATATTTACAGTGTGTCACTAATGAGCAATATACATATTCATCGAAGTTTTTCCAATTCCTGTAGCATGCTGTCCCCGATCACCATAATTTTCATTTTACACGTTTTTGACGTGACAACGTCTTAAATTAGGTTGCGGCTGGGAGTCACTTATGAAAAAGTGTAACGCTCGGTAACGTTACGATGAGTCTCTCGTGTTAAGTTTAAGTTTACATGTACAATGTTTTAGTAAACAAAATATATTTCTATAGTTAAAATTTGTGCAATTCTTATTTTCATTCAATTCCTTGTTCCTATTGTGCAATTTAATTATATTCATATCAATAAATATTCTACCGAGAAAAAGACGTTGGTTGTCACGTAAAATCTTCGCCCGTAAAACCGACTTTACAGGCAACCATTTTTTATTACGCCCAACTGTCATACTCCATAGTAGTTTGATAATGGAGCGTGATAAGAACGTGCTTTATTTAAGATCGCGGTGCTCAAAGTACAGGACAAGTATCTTATTGGCGATATAATAAAACAATAATGGATCAGTAAATATTATCACTTCCATCTGTCCAAAACCGTTAGCGAAAAGGCCTACAGATAGTGCTGTTTTATTTACTGCATCAAGCAATCAAATGATTCGCTCACCGAGGGGGTCCAAGTCGACGGAATTGAGACTGGAGTCATCGCTGTGGTCATGCAGCGGCGCGCGGGGCTGCACGACGCGCGACGTTACGTCTGGACTCGACTCGCCCGAGTTGCCCGCGGAGCGAACCGAAACCGCGCTCGCTGAGGACGACGGTATTGAGGATTTGGATCGCCCGCTCTGTGTAAATGGAAAATAATACTTGATTGACTTTTCTTCAATGAGATTTTAAAATTTTACGTATATCTGAATATTTATTTATTTAGATGAAACAACTCTTTGCTACCGGATGTTTGCTTTACATAAACGTAGGTACTAATAAAAAAAATGTGGACCAAATTTAAAACATGAACAACTTAAGAAAGCCCCAATATATTTAAAAAATAGTCCTCTTCGAAAAGAAACAGTCTAGGTCACGACATGATACAATTGATGCATCACAACTTTGAGACACACACACATACACTGCATACACAACAGCCACCATACATGCTACTTATATTATTATATTCTTTCCAGTGGATACCAGAAACAATATAAATAATTTCATATGTGAATAATAGAACAGTTCAAAATATTTTAATTTTTGATAAGACAATTAATTAACACAAAATGAACCATTACGTTTTGGGCGGACTGCATCTCCCCACAAGGGATATCTCCTTGCCCTCCTAGAACCACTAGGCCAATTCAGACCTCTCCTCTATTTAACCGTATATTTACTTACATATTTTGGTTATTTAGTCAGTAAACGTATCAAAAATATACTACAATAAATCATCGTAGTAAACAAATTACAACAAGTAAAAGGCTCCTATTTCAGTGTAAACCGCTTGCAAAATGAGTTCAAGGCTGTGATAGCTCTAGTATTTCAGTTCAGTCGTCATTTCAACGTCATTTAATACAATACGTTGATACCTTTGTTATCCTAAAATAAATCTTACTGCGAGGATAATATGACACTGATTTATCTGTTATTGAATAATATCGTAGGCCTTCGTCGATTTTCTGTAATGGATTTGATTATCTAAATATAAATACAATGTTCTGTGTTAATCCTACTTAAAATTAGATTGCTCTATTTCTAAAATTATGATTGTTTTTTTATAATGATTTTGCGAATCAAAGGAGTATCCATTGATTCGCAAAAGCATATAAAAACGGAAGATGCAAAAAAGTATGAATAACTACTACTTACATTAGGAGTGTGACTTTCGTAAGCTGAGATCTTGTTTTTGTTGATGACATTTTTACTGCTGTCACTAGAGAGATTTGTGTCCACGCTTGGCGACCTGCAAATTAATATGAAAAGGGATGTATTTACAAAAAAGTAGCTAGTGTTAAATAGGGTACATGTAACATTATCATCATGTGTAATACTTATTTTTTATTGTCAGTTATATAAGTTTAAATGTACAGTTTGGATTATTAGTCATTGCGTCAGTATTAAATGATCGAATTATGCTGATTTTTGGCCTTGTTTTGCCATGATTGTGTTTGTATGACGATTCTGGCATGATTATTTAATCCTAAACTTAAATTTGAAAACAGTGTATCCTTGTTTCGCTCTTTACAGAATAAAAAGGAGAGACTGATGTCAAATTTAGTTTTAAATTCAGAGAATCATGCCAGAATCGACACCTATTATGCTTTATAGATAATGGAAAGAAGAGACAGCTGCCATTTCGATTCGAGAAGCATATCAGAATCAGGCCCATTGTGTGGTTATCAAAATTGTTGATCGAAGCCTGCAGTTGTCTGTTCATAAACATGATATTCATTGCTTTATTAATTTGTATTCTATTTAACTTGATAATAAAACTTTTTCCAGAAAAAACTTACAATTCTATTTGTTTACACTATACAGGATTTTTGAGAACTACATAATGGACTTGATTCTAAAACAATATCGCGTGACAATATCTTAACTTACTATAGAAATGAGCGCCTTTTTCACAGTATCGATGAACCTCGCACTTGGGCCTTCCTGCTTCGGCGTTCCTTCCGGTTGCGGCGACACTGGCCCCGGCTCGATTTTCGTGCCAGTGCCGAGAAACTGCAAATATTTACTTAAACAATATCGCTTCTTACCTCACTTTAGAAATGAGCGCCTTTTTCACAATATCGATGGACCTCGCGCCTGGGCCTTCCTGCTTCGGCGTTCCTTCCGGTTGCGGTGACACTGCCCCCGGCTCGATTCTCGTGCCAGTGCCGAGAAACTGCAAAGATTTACTTTAACAATATCGCTTCTTACCTCACTTTAGAAATGAGCGCCTTTTTCACAGTATCGATGAACCTCGCGCCTGGGCCTTCCTGCTTCGGCGTTCCTTCCGGTTGCGGAGACACTGCCCCCGGCTCGATTCTCGTGCCAGTGCCGAGAAACTCCACGGTTTTACTCTTCAGCTCCTCAGCCAGATTCATTAGTAAGGAGGCGCGAGTCCGTAACTCGAGTTGTGCGAACTTCTCGGCCTTGTAGCACGCGTTTTCGGCGTTGATCAGTTTCGTTAGAAGGAACTCTTTTAGTTCACGCCCTTTGCGGAATACAGGCGGTTGGGGGAGAGTCGGCCCGAAGAATGGTACGTCTACTCGTGCGGTGACGGCCACTTTGTACCTGAAAATTTAATTTTGTGTTAGAAATCTTTTAGTTGTACCGTATTTTATATTTAAAAACCAGACAAGTGCTAGTCGGACTCGCCCACCGAGGGTTCCGTACAATTTACGCATTTACTTCCGTACAAATTAATTAATTACTAATATAAACGGCCATAGCTTTTTTTTACGTTCACTTATAAGTGTGAATTTTTTTCACATCTTCAAAGGACTATAGACCTGAGTATATAGTTCGAATTTCAACACGATACCTCCACGCAGTTTCGAGATAAAGGGTCTTGAAAGACAGACGGACAACAAAGTGATCTCATAAGGGTTCAGTTTTTTTTCCTTTTGAGTACGGAACCCTAAAAACAAGGAATCCAAATATTCAATTAAATTTCATCCGTTGTATTTCATTTCTATCAATTAAGAGCAGGCCACACCAGCAGCGAAGGAAGATCCATTTTGCTCCCTTTCGTGTGCTTTTTTACTGGAACAGATCAGCAAATAATCGTTTGCCGAGGCAAAAATTGGAAAATGTACGAGCAGCGCCATAACATAAATGGGGACCTGACGAACAAAACGGTATATTACGCATTTGGTCAAACTACTTTTTTTACAGTCTGTAGTTTTCGGGCCCGTTGAATTTGAATCTCAAATAATTTTCAATCATAACTACCTAAAACAGTGTTAAAATTACTGAATTTATAAATTAAAAACCATGCCAAAAGCTCACTGGAGGTATGTCATTCAATTTTATACAGCTCTTGTAACAATTAATTTTATGTAATTACACCATTTTGTTCGGCAGCTCCTCAAATGATACTAGCATAATAATAATACTATTTGATCTTATAATTCGAAGAACTAAGTTTATTTCTATTCGCTCCCGGTGTAAACCGAGAAATTATTAACTATTAATCCACTACGGAGAGGTACTGTATGTAATGGTATGATAAATGAACGAACATTATTATTAATTCCATTATCGTAAAAAATATTACATTTTTATGAATAGTAAAGAAAAGTAAAGAAGTCTTTTTTAAATATTCTTATATTACTTAGTTGTTCAGTCGACACCTTTTCAATTATAAAAATATACATTTGCATATATATTACTGAAGTTTCCATTCCATTTTCAGACTCATTTACTTTAGTGTTCGTTCCATGCAAATAATGCCACGGTTGTTGCGAAGTAACACTAACTTTATGTTAAGCGAGTCACTTGACATGGAAGTAATAAAAGCAAACATCGAACTACAAAATGTAAAAAGTAATACTGAATTGTATTGTATTGCTAAGTACCTACCTACTAAATATTTAATCACAGCGCTTTTATAAAATCTTTTCTAAATAAAATGATCATAAGTAGTGATGTTAGTGATTTAACGAAGACCACCCACAATTTAAAGTTTTTCAAAGTGACGTGGTCTTATTATATTGTTATCATAAAGTAAGTGACAGTATGTTCTTCAGTCCAAATAAAAAAATATATGTCTCTGAACAAGAAGAAGAAGAAGAGAAGAAACTTAGTACTTGGAAGTTCCTCTCTTGGGTCATTAGAAGACATACTATTAATTGGCAGGTGTTTCACGCTGTGAAGATATGATCAATACCACAAAATAGAGAGAAGCCAGAAGGATGGCTCTGTATATAACTTCGAAACCATCTTCGAAAATAATATTAATCGATTTTGATAGCACATGTCGCAGATTCGAATAAATTGCGTTAGAATGCCTATAAACGTAACATCAATATGTGCGTGACAGAAAAGACGCCTTGTTCTGAGCCTACCCTCTGCTTGCGTTTTTGTGTCTGCATTTTACAATGTTATCTTGAAGAAAGGATTTTGAAAGCTTATGATAAATTACCTGGTCTCCCCGCCGGCAGCCTCCACGGGCGTTACAACAATGAAGGCATGGAGGAAATGCGAAGCTATCATGTCTGGCGTGAACGGAGTTGCTTTCTCCTGGAATTTCAAAGGTTTCGATATAGCAAAAGATGATAGGTAGTTTGGGTTAGGTTTATTACTTCGGGATAAGTTAGAAAGTCTACCAGCATGGTTACGTTTTCTTTACCCCAATCACTACCCTATAAGTACGCGCAGCTGTAAGTCAAACAAATATCTAAGATGACTTAACTAGGTAAAATAAAATGTTTTCAGCCTTCATCATCATCATCATCTCAGCCGGATGACGCCCACTGTTCAGCACAAGCCTCCTCCAAGATCTCCACACCGATCGATTCTGCGCCCCTTGCATCCATCGGCTTCCCGTGACCTTTACCAGATGTTTTCAGCCTTACTTAGTAAAACAATTCCTGTAACCCACCTGAAAAACAATCGCCACGATGTCGTTGCCGACGTGCCGTTTCCTCTGCAGTTGCTGCGCGTCGCCCGCCGTGTGCGGCAGCAGTGGCGCCACGTGGAACATGATCTCGCGGTTGTAGTACTGTTCGTACACCGCCTCCGTGCCCGTGTGGCCGTTCATGATGTCCAGTCCTCCTCGATAGCCTGCCGTTGCAAATAATTATTTATGATATAAAACAGGGAATATTGCTTTTATTAATGGTAGATTTCTAAATCTAAGAAGTTGTAACTAGAAAAACGTGGGCATTCTCTAATGGAATAGTGACGACTTGCCGAATTTTTGAAATCATAAACAACACCAACAAAGAAGGATTTAATCAGATTCGATTGGCGTTTTGACTAGCGCAGAAAGTTTCACCTTGACTCATGTTACTGCAACTAGGGAATGGTTTCTTTGAATTAGAAGCTAGACTAGTCGGTACAGTAATTCAAGCCCAGAATAGAGGGCGAGATAATATGCTCTGTACATTAAAGTCTCTCTTTGCAAACTAAACGAGGTTTACAACCCACGTACCTTTATGATCTTTAAGCTTGATCTTTTGCCCGAGCATTTCTAAAAACTCGTCGAAGGCGGGTGACGTCTCGTTGTTCCCGAAGAGTTCCTCCTCTGTCGTCTGACCGTACTTCTGGTACAGCACTCCGAATTTGAAGCTATTCACCAGTACGTGCTCGTCGTACGTGGCGATCAGCTGCGACGCATTCAGACACATCACCGCCATGAAGTTGTCGACGTTCACTTGTTCATTGAGCATCTTGGCCATTTTCAGAGGCGACGGCGTTATGCTCGACCCTGGAAGATTGTTGATAAAATTTTTAGTGTTAATACAATCCGAGTTTAGAACATCTTTGAAAATGATCAAAGATAGATTGATCAATTCTTTCGTGTATTTAAATCTAATTCAAATTCCAGAAATACTTTGATTTCGTTTTCCAACTTGGTCATCCATAGTCACTTGTCACTTTGTTAGCCATAGAACGTCTTCTATTCTTAGTGGTGTTCTATCGACATAAATTGACGATTCTCTTTTTGATAATGTAAAACAAAGTTATTTTGCTAAGTATCAGTTCTTGAGTATCTCGAAAACACAACTCAGTACTAGGAAATACACAATGGATATAAGTGGCTGTAACTGCACAACTTGCCTATTAGTTACAGGAGCATAAATGATATTTTGCTGTTACTCTGCCAGGTTTCCAGCTGAATAGGTGTTTCAAAAAGCACCCTCTCATTTGTTACTGTTAGTTCATATTTCTTCCAGTATCAGAGTTTCTATTTACTTACTTGCTGTTGGTATTAGCCCATGCATGGTCTCCGTGCGCAGCCTAAGTAGTATCCTCGTGTGGTCTTGCCCAGCCACATGCTCGTTTTTCAGCGACATCACCACCGGACCCAGGTTTTCGTCAAACCCAACCAAGTTGATGTGCTCCTGTTGAAGAAAAAGATACACGACCATAAAGAACAGGAACTGATAACCCTAGTGTTCTTTTTATATAAAGAGGTTAGGAAATAAACAGATAGCCTACAGATGGTAAGTGATCTTAAGCGAGCTTATTGTAAGCCTAAATAATTAGGTGATGAAAACATGACTCCCATTTTGCTCATCCTGACTCCACTACCGCCGCGTGGAGTTCTGTCTAATGTATTCAGTGCAGGAACGCCGTACTACTATTTCTGTATTTGATCTACATTTATCTGTATTGTGGAGGATTCATCCTAAGGCCAAGAAATGCTATACTCGAAATACTGTTCCTGTTATATTTGACTATAGTTCTATAATCTCAAGGATTCGTCGTAATACAACGTTCCAATTCTACTCGATCATCCTCTGTGTCCTATTGATCCTTTAAATATTTAAAAACAGACATTGATTTAATAAGTAACTATATCATTTGTTTTGTGGAAATCAAATACAAAGAGGCTTGAAAAATAACAGTAAAGTTTAGTTTTATTCGTTAGAAAGGGATTATCAATAGTGGAACCATTCGACTGACATAATGATGAAAGGGCGTCAATCGTAAAATTTGATATCCGGACATAAAGACTAGTCCGAGCAAATTAGTAAAATAGGTGTTAGTCGAAATTTTGTCGGTGTTGTGTGTTCCCTAAAGTGGAACTGGTCCCTAAAATATAGTCGAGCGAAGCGATGGCTGGTTCATGCGTCATGCTCGTGAACGGGTGCTGCCAGCGGAGATGAGTCTGCTCTATACTATTTTATTATTATAATGATAATTAATTATTTAAATTAAATTGCACAATTGTATTTGTAATTGTATTTATACTGTATGGCACAGCAATCAAAATTTTAGGTGAATATTTATTATTTCTCAGATAAAGATTTAATGGTGGTGTGGATTCTGGCATGGTTCTCTAGACCTGAACTTTGGTTTTGCAGCGGTGTATCCTTGTCATTCTCTATACAGAGTGAAAGAGGGGCACTGATGTTGGGTTTGGTTCTGGCTTTAGAGAGTAGTGGCAGAGTCGACACTAGTGTTTAGGTAATCACATTCACATTTTTTTCCTATTTTGCAATCTAGTATCCATATGTAGTTATGAGTAGTCATGCTCTCTAAAAAAATCTCTTCGGCGGTGTCGTGTGAGGCCGGTCGTTACGTTCCATAAAAAATGGTTGAGCGAAGCGATGGCTGGTTCATGCGTCATGGTCGTGAATGGGTGCTGCCAGCGGAGATGAGTCTGCTCTTGCTACATTGGTTACTATTAATCGTTGTTTTTAACTTTAATCTTACATTAGTTTTTATGCCTAAACAATAGGACACGGCATTAACCTACTATTTCCTAAACATTTTTTAAATCTGTTTATTATTTTTTTTTAATTATATTGTCATAATTTTTATATCATTTACATTTGTAATGGAAAGTGACTTCATGAGTTATCTCATATTGAAGTTTTTTTTCAATTTGTACAGGGGGAAAAAACCAGCCCTTGCTGAGTTACTTGTCGGTTCTTCTCAGTACAAGACATTCACAAGTGCTTGTAACAGCCTAGACTGAATAAACGATATTGATTTTTTTTGAGTTGTAGCTAAACGACTATATAACATCCATCAGGCACGCCCTAAGTCTATAAAACGGCGATATAGACAATATTTACTATAGAACCTAAACTCAGCGGCTATTATTTCACGATACTTAATGGAGATTTTTCGTTCAGTGAGACAGACTTCGCCGCTACCGTCACAACTTCTGCGTATACCTACATAAATTGAGAACATTATAACCGTATACAACAAGCTAAATAAAATATTTAGTTATGTTTCTGGGTATTAAAGATTCGACTTATATTGACTCGAGAGTTCATTATGTGAGTTAAGAAAGAAGAACGATATTGAAAGACCTTTTCGTAATAAATAATCGTCTTTCAGATTAAGTTTTGTTTGCAATTTTTTGACAATAAACACACCCATAGTTATTACATAGTTCATTTAGCCAACACTGTAAAATGTTATGATGCAACAAAGACATTCAATGTATGAATCAGAGCACTTAATGGTGATCTCATAGAAGAAACAACAGACTTCTGACGACGTAGCCTGTAAAGGCTACGAAACGTCAATAAATAAATAAAGTTTCGTGCATTAACCCGTAAAAACTAGTTTTATTTAAGAAACAACAGCTTTGAAGTTTTAATTTGATAGACCGAATCATGATATGATTTAATTCCACAGTTTGGTTACCAAAAGTTCAATGGCACAGCTAAGATACGCTTTGTGCTCGGGTAACTTTTTTACATAGTTTAATCTCATATATGGCTAGAAAGAGTAGTAAAAACTGTTACAAAAAATACAAGTTAGCACCTATGTATATAACACTTTAATAAGACCAGGAACTTTTTCAAAGTTTTCTAATGAATATAGCACTTTTTTAATAATACATATTTTTAACAAACTGAGGGAGTAATAAAACATTTGTGCTTTAAAGTACAATATAAAAACGAATAAATCCATTTCAATGTATTGATTTTACATAAAAATACCGCTCATACTAAAAGTACAGTCACTGACTGTGTAAGCTGGTAAAGACATAAAAAAAACAAAAGTATTTAAAAAACTGTTCAGACGACTGACTTGTTTTCACGATGCCGTATCATTTGTCGGCTTACGAGTTCGAGGGTCAAACAGTGTTTTTTTAAAGAAACAATGAGTTCTTAATCAACACAGACATGGTAATTAGTATCAGACATTGTTACTTTAGCCTTAGCAGCGGTCCCTTTTTATTCCCATGCTTGGAGACCTTAGCGAAGGATAAACATTGTATTTATAGCATCACATGGGAAACAATAGTTAACTATTCAACTCGTTTCTATGTATTGCAGTATCAATTGGAACAAGCAACTAAAGTCAATAAAACATGTGTATGAAAAAACAATGAACAATTACCAATAAAACAAAGCCTGAAAACCTTAACCTCCTTGTCTTGCAAAGAAATACGTAACACACGATACATCTATTGAGGTAAGGTCACACGCCGGAGCCAAGCTTAGAGACGATCTAGAAACTATGCAGTCACCTAAGATATTTTTTTTTACACACATTTAGCCTAGCCCCAAAGTAAGCACTATAAGGCTTGTGTTATGAGATGCTAGGGTAACGGAGAGAATACATATACTGTACATATATAAGTATATTTATATAAAATACATATTAAACATCCATGACTGGAGTACAAATGCTCGTATTCATCACACAAACAGCTGCCCCCACCGGGATTCGAACCCGGGACCTCTCAAGTCGGCGACAGCCATGAAACCCGGCGACCCGGCGTACAAACCACTTGGCCACGGAGGTCGTCGATAATAATCGCATAGAGCTTAATGTACCTAATGTAGTTCACTACATTTAGGCTCTATGCGAGTAGCTTGGCTCTAAGCACCAAGCCAGTACGCTTGTATTGTGTCCCCAGCCTTAATGTGTATCGCTACTTTAATTGGTGCAGGGTTTTGATTTTGACAATCAAACTAGATTTTGAACTCATATTTTGATAAAGTATGAAATAGTAGGTCCACCTATGAAATTGCCGCTCTGCCATACTGGCTATTTCAAGTCCAATTTTTTCTTTATTCGCTAAGAATTCTAAGTTCAAATTATTTTTATTTATATAACGTATCGAATTTGATACGTTAGATAACGATAAAATATACGATATTTTAACGTATCCATGATGACGGTAAACGTACAATACGCTGAAAATAGAACAAATTAACAATTTTCAAAAACGAATACCATATTTTATAAATAAAAAATAATGTTTTTATATTTTTAAGCATTTAACTGCTAGATGTTTAAATCGAAAGAAAAGTTTTACTAGAAAAAGAAATAAATTAAAATATTACGATTGCGCTAACAGCGGCACGCAACGTCAACGACATATACGGAGCAACCAGTATTAACGATGATGATGATGACTGATGATTCTCAATCTACAGCGGGATTAGCTACAGCTTTTGATGTTAGCATCAAAACAATATTGGTCCATTGGCGTCAAATTAGCAAAAATCTTGAGAAATGGGTGCCTCACGAATTGCATGATCGCCAGCGCGAAGTGCGTGTCGAGTCGAACCTTGCACTGCTCAACAGGCACACAAACGATCACATTATAAATTGCGACAAAAAATAGATTCTGTTCGACAATCACAAGCGCTCAGCAAGCAACTAAACAATTCCCCAAACGAAAAACTGACCACTAAACAAGTGATAGTCAATGTTTGGTGGCCGGTGTCATTCATCACAGCTTCTTCCCAAACTGGATGAGCATTACTGCAGATGCATAACTGTGAAGAACTGAACACAATGATGGAGAAGCTCGCAAATCTCCAACCAGCCTTGGCCAATCGTTCAGCTCCTGCACGACAACGCGCGACCTCATACTGCACAGAAGACAGTCGCCAAGTTATAAGACCTGGGTTTAGAACTTCTCCGTCATCCACCGTACCACGCTTACTCACCAGACCTTGCCTCTTCGGACTTCTACTTTTTTTCAGAAAATGGTTAACTTGGTTGGGGAAAAAATCAATAACCGGAAGGCAGTTCAAAATCCCATCCTGCAGACTTTTTCAAAGAGGGCATCAATAAGCTACCACTACCTTGGCAAAAATGAATTAATTGCTTGGGTAATTACTTTAATTAATAAACAAAAATAAAAAAGGCGTTAACTTATTTCACGAAAAACGGCAATTTCATAGGTTAAGACCCAATAATATTAAATCGGTCGAGTCAATCCATCAGGATTTGAGTCAGAACATTTCCATAATACTTGTTCAATTCAATTCAAAAAGTCCTGTTGTAAGACTAAGTACCTTTAAGTATTTATGTACATATTTCACCACAAAATAAGAATAAGTTCACATAATTTCATATAATAATAAAAGTTGTATTGGAATATGGAAGTAATTTAATTATCATGTTAATAATT